AGGGGCACTGGAGGCCATGTACAGGCCAAAGAAATGCAAAGAAGGAAAAGGGGATGAAAAGACAAAGAAGTGAGAAAGAAAGGAAAGAGGAGAGAAAGAGATAACGACCAAAATCATTGGGAACCTTATGAGTAGGGAGAATAGGTATACTAGAATGGCAGACGTTTTCAAGCCAAGCCCAAGGAAGACAGTTATGCTTCTCCTTCTCCCATTTTTCCCGTATGTCTTCTACTTTCTATTTGGCCAGGCTTTGATTATGCAACACCCTCATCCACTCCCAGGCAACAGACACCTCATTCTTTCCCACCCAGCTTGAGAGGAGGCCACTGGGGGAACATCAGGGGTTGAACCTCCCCCAGCCCTGAGTTTCAAATCCGGCCCTGCCAACTAGTGTCACTGTGCCTCAGGCACTAGATCCTCAAGACTCTAGGACAGTGCCCCCTGTCTAGGAGGGGCCAGGAAATTACTCACTGACCGACATACCAAATTACCTTCTCCGTGTTATTTGACTTAAAATTTCTGGGTTGTGAAGATTGTGAGTCTTGAAAAAACACTGGTGAAAACTGAGGGCCTCTAAAAGAGAGGTTAGAGGGCAGAAAAGGGAACCTACTTAAATGATTTCGCATTCATATCTGCAAGAAGCCCTCGTCTTGGTGCTCTCTCTAGTCTGCTGGTTATCACATTTTAGAAGTCGTCAGAATCACCTGGAGAGCTGGTTAAAGCACAGATTGCTGGGCCCACCCCTGCACTTTCTGACTCAGGAAGTCTGGGCTGCTTGAGACAAAAGGTCCCGGGTGATGCTGCTGCTGCCGGTCCAGGAGCCACACATTGAGGACCACTGACCTAGTGCAATCTCACATTAAAGCTAAAATGATTTGTTTAAAGCCCTGATTTTATCATTTCACCTTCTGTTTAAAACTCTCCAGTAGCATCCTGTAAGATATTTTTTGAGGTATCAATGCGAATGGTTAGATGATCAAGCTTTGTTTAGCGAAGAGGAGAGAAGCCCACTGCCCCCCACCACCCTGTCCTCTTAGGATGTTTTCCTAAAGACAAAAGACATAAGAGGCCAGCCTTTTGATTTAACAATGCGAGGGCTCTGGCCTTCTGTAAGAATCTGCAAGTACTCACCTCCAGAGTGGCAAGAGACATTGTAATTGTCTGTCTTCCAACTTACTATATAAACTTGTGTGAAATTCTGTCCAGACTTTGTACACTCTTTCATACTATATATATGCATGTAAATCTGTAATGCTCACTCACAAATTGTGTTATCTCTCTCTCCTCTTCGTATCTTCAAATATTTCTGCAAAGGAGTTGTTGTTAATGTTGGCAGGATTGTTTCATTTCCCTAACACCACCTTCCTTAACACTTTACCATTCTCTGAGGACCATGCTTCTTTTATGGGGGTGGACCCCATGCCAGCCTAACCTGATGCAATTAGATTCCCTCTCTCAGGAATTTGGGACCAGAACTGAGAGACAAGGATGGGGGTTGGTGGGGAGGAGGGGCAGATGCACAGAGAGAAGCAGGGGCGCTGTTTCCTGAGGCCTTTCCATCTGCGGTTCAACCTGAGGAAGTTCCGGCTGCATTTCCTGCCTTGGGTTCTGTGAGTTACCCCGGGTCCTGCCCAAATCCCCCTTTTTGCTTAAGCAGATTGGCCTTAGATTTCTTGCTAATTGCAACCAAAATAACCCACATGAAGATACTCTCCATTGCCCTCTGGATGAAGTCCAGATCCCCTGAACACGGCGGAAAAGCTCTTCACCATCTGGTGTCTGCTTGCTTTTTATCTTTTTCAACACATTCACCTTCTACTCTCTATTTCTGTATGTTGAACTTCTTTTTAGCTCTTTCTACTCTTCAGGCCTTGGGCATGATGTGTTCTCTCTGCATATTATACTCTTTTCTCCTCATCTTTGTCTGGCCAATCCCTATTTAGCCTTCAGAATCAGTGTGTATCATTTCCTTCAGGAAGCCCTCCCAGATACACAACTTCTTTTCCTTATTCTCCAAGTACCTTTAGCTCCTCTTGTCCTTGCACTTATATAGGACACTGTCATTGCCTGTTGATTTGTCTTTTGTCCATCCTAGATGATGAACTTTGTGAGGGCATAGATTGAGTCTGGATCGCTATTGTTTATGGGTGTCTAACACAGTGCCTGGTACTTGGCTAGCACCCAATAAATACTTATCAAATGTATGAATAATGTGCCTTCTTTGACATCAGTCACTTACCCCAGCAGCAGACCAACAATGTTGAACAGGAAAAAAAAAAAAAGAAAAGAAAATGACTTTGGCCTCAAGCTATAGACTATGATTTGAGAATACTCTAGAGGTCAAGAATCAGATATCTCCTTGGTTTGAGAATATCCAATTACCTTGATTATATCTTTTTTTCTCCTATTTAATAATTGTGCTAGAGTTCCTAATTAGAGAAGAGACCTCATGCATTTATTGATTCCAGTGTGCTGTATCACTAGGGAGATTTTGAGAATAAGGCTAGAATTTAGCATATCAGAAATTCAATCCATTTGAGATCTCTCAAAGAGGTTTGCCCATGGGTCATTTAGCACAGACTTTCACAGTCACTGCAAACTGTTGTCATGGTAATCATGGAACCTTTTATGATTTTTGTGTATGAGTTAATGAAGATACTGGAAACGGCCCAAAGGAATTCACACTTGGGCGTGCATTTGTCTCCATATTAACCTAATCATTGTTTGGAACACACATCTGCCCCAGGGCCGGTCCTCTTGGCTCTTGGTCCTGACAGAAATAAATAAACAACTGATTCCTTTTTAGTATTTCAGACTAGCAGGCTGTGGATGGTTGCCCTTTAGGTCTCATTTCAACAGAAAATCTTACATGGAAGGTTTAAAAGAGCAGAAGAAAAAAGGAGGCTGTGTGAAGCAAATATTTCTTTTATTTCAAATGATTAATGTGGCTGATTTCAAGGCACCTAAATTTAATGCCTATAAAGAAAGTGTCAGTTGTGGAGAGCACAGAACATTGTCTATATCTTAAGGCTCTTTTTATGGTTCTTTATAAGCACGCTTTAATTTAAGCCTTCATCAAGCCTACAAATTTGAATAAAGATATCCCAGTGTGCTTATTTATTTGAGTATGAGTTTTCCATCTGTGTCTTCTTCTGTGAGTTGTTTCCCAATGTCCATTCTTCTCTTTTTTCCTAGTAATAATACCCCTTTTAGCAACGGATGTGGATGTTTAAAATCAAGACATTTCCCACTCTCCCTTACTGCTGGCCAATAGTACTTAAAGAGAGGGGTTATATTGAACTTTTTGGATGTACCTTTAAAGGGAGCTATTGAGAGCGGTAGGAGGCAGCCAAATGCCTAGGCAGATACAGACAGGTCCCTGGTGAAACCCCGTCTCCAAGCTGAAGACAGTTAAAAGCCTGAAAGCCAAGCTACAAGTTAAATCCTCAGGCTGGATTGAGAACCTGTCTTCCTGTTTGGTGTGCTTTCCTCTGATGGATCCCTACCCTTCACCTATTTAACATACACCTATCCTTTCCCTATTTGGTTTCTACACTGTCCAGCCCACCTTTGAGTGGTATCTCCGCTTTAATCTTTTTTGCATATTCACACACCGATCAGCATCCACTCCTCATTCTGAGTCCATAAAAGTCCCCAGACCCAGCCATATGAGGGACTTTCACGCTTTCTGGTAGGGGAACCACCCCTCACATCCCCTCTCTGCTGAGAGCTGTTCCCTCACTCAATAAAATTCGTCTTAGCCCTCCTCACCCTTCAATGTCCAGCTTATCCTCATTCTTCTTGCGTATGGTACAAGAGCTCAGGAGCCGCTGAACACAGGTACAAGCCATAACACTGATGGGCTGGGGCATGCCAGTGTGGCCAAGGCATCACCCACCGGCTAGGGGGTCCCTGGCTTGCAAAGTGACTGAGAAGAAAAAGCCTGCATCACTATTATGTGCCCTTCTTCATCCCTTCCTACTGACTGGAATGTGTACATGATAAATGGAGCTTGGGCAGCCATTGTGGGCAACGAATTGGCAGAATTAGAAGACAGAAGTCTGGGTCCCTGGAGACTAGAACTTCCATAAAAACTAAGACCCAGAGAGAGAAAGAAACTGCAGTCTTAAGTAAGCATCTGTTATTTCAGATTTTCTTTTCTTTCTTTTTTCTTTTTCTGAGACACAGTGTCACTCTGTGGCTCAGGCTGGAGTTCAGTGGTATGATCTGGGCTCACTGAAGCTGCGTCTCCCAGGTGCAAGTGATTCTCGTGCCTCAGCCTCCTTAGTAGCTGGGATTATAGGCACGAATCACCATGCCCAGGTAATTTTTGAATTTTTAATAGAGACAGGGTTTCCCCATGTTGGTAAGGTTGGTCTCAAACTCCGGATTTCGAGTGATCCGCCCGACTCAGCCTCTCAAAGTACTGGGATTACAGGAGTGAACCAATGTCCCTAGCCTTATTCCAGATTTTCTGTCATGTAATTTTAACTGATACTCCACTCAAAAATGAAATTTTTTTTTCTCCTTCTATTGATGGGGTGTAAAATTACACGGGCTTTTTTGTGAGATTTGCCTTCTGATCCCAGGGCCTGTTGGTAGGTGGGTAGGTTTGCTAGACCTTTGCATTAGACAAGCTAAATTTACTTGTATGGGGAACTGAGACAGCATTTCCATGTCAGGGCTAACTTATTCCACTTAGTCATAGAGACTTGGGGTTGCCTGGTCTTTGTGTGTGCATTTTGAGTTTTTCTAGTGCAGGGGAACTACATATCTTTTACCTTAAAGTCAGGACTTAGGACTCCCGTCTCAAATGCTTTTTGGAATGTGGTCAGGATAAGACACTTATCACTAATAAGTATCACTAATTAGTCTAAGTGGAAGTAATTGAGATAGAGACAAAAACCAAAACAAAACAAAAATTATCTAAAACAAGTATAATAACCCTCCATGTGGGAGAAACAAGCCTTATGCCAGCAAGGAATTGTGATTTTACTTACTGAACTTGGGCCTTTTAATCTTCTTTGCTGTTTCTTTGTTTGGATGTACTCCAGTCACCAGCAAAACTATATAAAGAAAATTTTTAAGAATTTAATCAATATTATTTTACCGAAACTCTTTCTCTTTTAAATCATATTTGCTTTGATCATCCATAAAGTATTCTCATTGGCAGAACTAATTTTCCCTCCTACAGTCATGCATCATTTAGTGATGGGGCTTTGCTCTGAGAAATGTGTCATTAGGTGATTTATTTTTTGAGAGAGTCTCACTCTGTCTCCAGGCTGGAGTGCAGTGGCGTGATCTCGACTCACTACAACCTCTGCCTCCTGGGTTCAAGCAATTCTTCTGCCTCAGCCTCCCAAGGAGCTGGGATTATAGGCATGTGCCACCATGCCCGGCTAATTTTTGTATTTTTAGTAGATAAGGGGTGTCACCATCTTGACCAGGATAGTCTTGATCTCTTGATCCCGTGATCTGCCCACCTTGGTCTCTCAAAGTGCTGGGATTACAGGCATGAGCCACCACGCCCGGCCAGGCGATTTCACCTTTGTGCTGATATTGTAAAGTGTATTTACACAAACCTAGATGGTGTGGCCTACTGCACACCTAGGCTATATGGTATGGTCTGTTGCCTCTTAGGTAAAAAATCTGTGCAACATGTTACTGTACTGAGTACTGTAAACAATTGTTAACAGCTGATAAGTATTTATGTATCTAAACATAGAAAAGGTACAGTAAAAATACAGTAAAAAGAAAAAAGTGATATACCTGTAGAGGGCACTTAGCACCAAAGGAGCTTGCAGGACTGGAAGTTGTTCTGGGTGAATCAGTGAGGGAGTGGTGAGTGCATGTGAAGGCCTAGGACATGACTATACACTGCTGTAGATTTTATAACACTGTAGACCTGAGCCACACTAAATTTACTTTATATATATACGTGTGTGTGTGTATATATATATGTGTGTGTGTGTATGTGTGTGTGTGTGTGTGTGTGTGTGTATGTATGTATTTAGACGGAGTCTTGATCTGTTGCCAGGCTGGAGTGTAGTGGCATAATCTTGTCTCACTGCAACCTCCATTTCCTGGGTTCAAACGATTCTCCTGCCTCAGCCTCCCTAGGAGCTGGGACTATAGGCATGTGCCACCAGGCCCAGCTAATTTTTGTATTTTTAGTAGAGATGGGATTTCACCATGTTGGCCAGGGATGGTCTCGATTTTTTCTTTAATATAATATTAGCATTAGCTTACTACGTCTTTTTCACCTTAGAAACTTTTAAATTTTTTAACATCTTGACTCTTTTGTAATAACACTTAGCTTAAAACACAAACACATTTTACAGCTGTACAAAAATATTCTTCCCTTATATCCTTATTCCATAAGCGTTTTTTTATTTTTGAGATTTTTAAATTTTTTACTTTTAAAATCTTTAAAGTCTAGCCAGGTTAAATGTTATGGTTAACTTTTTTTTTTTTTGTAAGTAAAAGGAGTATACTCTAAAATAATGATAAAAGTGTAGACTAGAACATACAGACCAGGTGTGGTGGTTCACGTCTGTAATCCCAGCACTTTGGGAGGGCAAGGCGGGCAGATCACCTGAGGTTGAGAGTTCGAGACCAACCTGATCAACATGGAGAAACCCCATCTCTACTAAAAATACAAAAATTGACTGGGTGCGATGGTTCATGCCTGTAATCCTAGCTACTTGGGAGGTTGAGGCAGGAGAATTGCTTGAATCCGGGAGGCACAGGTTGCAGTGAGCCGAGATCATGCCATTGCCCTCCAGCCTGGGCAGCAAGAGTGAGACTTGTCTCAAAAAAAGAAAAAAAAAAGCCTCAGAAGAGAGCCTGTCTGGGAAAGAAAGGGAAGGAGAAAGGGGCTGGGGAGAAGAAGGAGAGACTCATCACAAGGTCTGAGAAGTGACCTGAGTATCCCCTGGTATCCTGGTTCTGTGTCCCACCGAGGCAACTGCAGATAGTTGAGCTTCCTCCTTAGAAACAGGAGCAGAGCCTCCAATAGCATTTAGACACTGCTCTTCTTCAAAGTAGTTGAAGAAGGGAGAATTCTCTATCCTTTCTAAAGTCTCGTTCCTTTTCAAGCACGTAAGATGGAGTAGAGCATTCTCAGACCTTATCCTGAGTCTCTCCTTCTTCCCACCCACTTTCTTCTTGCCTTTCTTTCCCAAACGGCCTCTCTTCTGAGGCTTTTTATATATTCCCTCCATTCATGGACTAAGACACTAGCTAACCTGTGCCAATGATGTGGCCATTGAATTATCTCCAATTTTGACTATTAGCAATAGTTGAGGCCTGAGTAATTGACATACCATGTCCTGCAAGAACAGAAACATGAAAGAGAACTGAGTGAGAACCAGAAGTCTAGCCAGGCCAAATGAAGGCAGACATTTTTTAGGTGTATTTACTTCTGGGGTTTGAGTGGGTGTGAGTGTCCCGGAGGTCTAATTTTTAATAGTAGCTTCTTGTCAATTAACTCTATGCAAAGACTACATTTTTGCTTAATGCTCAAAAATAAATATCTATGGTCCTATAATATTTTTTAAAACAAGTACTAAATACACACATAGAAAACAAATTGAGCAAGGGGAGGGAGTAAGTGAAATAATAAATTTGGGCATCAATTTTTGTGGAAAACTGAAAACTGTTCTTGGCCTCTGTGCCTGAGGCAAATGTGGGTATCATTAGGACTATAAATATTTTAGTAAGACCATCCCATCGTTTGCTTTTGGTTGCCCAAGACCTTTTGGAGTGCAAACATGCATAGCTGGGTGCAGTTGAACAGCAGTAGTTAATAAAGTCATTATCTTTGATGGGACACCCTGCAGGACCTCCCCTTAGCTTCTGTGCTTATAATTAAAGCTTCTCAGAAACTACTCCTCCAGGGGATGGCTGGTCAGTAGGGCCTGCAAATGTGCTTGTGACCCTGAGCAAGTCTTCATTCCTCATCAGCAATGAGCCTCTTGCTACATTGAAAATGGTAAATTGCATGTTGAAGTTGGGCTAGAGAAGAATCAGTCTTGTGTTCATTTTCCTAGGACGCCTAGCAGAACACCAGGATGGATGGCTGATGCTCACTTCAAAGTGCAAAGCCGTAGGTGGGTCTGAGAGCCAGGCCCTGTTGTGAGAGGAGTGAATTACCTGGTAATGGAGGCTGTGGGTGTCAAGAAAACTTGAAGAGAGTTAAGTCAGGAACCCCAAATTCCAAGGCAATCATGATTTCCCAACTCTGCAGCAATGCTTCTCAATCCTTAAAAATCCAGTGTTCCAGTTTTGAATAATATAAACATTTCTTCTCTTTCGTTCTTTCTTTCTTTCTTTCTTTCTTTCTCTTTCTTTCTTTCTTCTTTCTTTCTTTCTTTCTTCTTTTTCTTTCTTTCTTTCTCTTTCCCACCCCTCCCTCCCTTCCTTCCTCTTTCTCTCGCTCACTTTCTCCTTTCTTTTCTTTCTTCCTTTCTCTTCTCACTTTCTCCTTCCTTTCCTCCCTCCCTCCTCTCTCCTTCCCTTCCTCCCTCACTCCCTCTCTCTCTCTCTCTCTCTCTCTCTTTCATCTTGCCCTGTTGCTAGAATGCAGTACTGTGATCACAGCCCACTGCTAACTTGAACTCCTGGGCTCAAGCAATCCTCCTGCCTCAACCTCCCAAATAGTTGGGCTTACAGTCACATGTGCCACCATGCCTGGCTAATTATTTATGTTTTGTAGAGATAGGCCTTGCTATGTTACCCAGGCTGTCTTTTCTTTCTTTAGTAGTGCTTGAGATGATAAAACATGTTAAGTACTAAAATTACTTTTTTAGAAAAAAATTTCTCCCACTTAACTCTCTCGCTCTCCAATGTGACAATCTGGACAGTTAAAATATTGATTTTAAAAATTGGTTGCATAGATAATTTATAGAGAAAATGTGAATGAATAAGCTTGAACCTATGTTTAATCTTATCAATGTTAACAATGCAAGCTAAAGCAAAATGAGGGAATGTTTTCCCATATCATGCTAGTAAATATGAAACATAAAATTATATTTAATCCTGGCAGGGATTTGAGATTAGGGCTTCTCTGAACACTGTTGGTGAAATACAAGCAGGCATGGCCATTCTGGAAAGCAATTTGGTAATACATTTCAAGAGCCTTAAAAACTTTTATATTCTTTGACCTAGAAAACAAACCCCTAGGAATATATCCCAATTTATAATCAGAAGTATAGGCAAAGATTTATGTAAAAAAAATGTTCATTATAGCATTTTTTCTAATGGATCTGGAAATAATCAAATGTTGAAAATATGCCAACAATAGGAAATCCTAAACATTTATTACAAATGATGTGTAATAGAATATTAAATTGCCTGTGAAGTATTCAACTCTAACCTTAACACTGATTCTGACAAGGTTAAAATATATGCAGATAAATAACCGGAACAGATATACTAAAATGTTAATAATGGAGGAACTATTATTTCCCTTTTATGTTTTCTGTATTTTCCCCTTTTGCATTTGTATTTATATATTTATAAAATATATATTTTATATAGACTTTATATAATTAGAATAATCTATAAATGAGAGATAATATAACTATAAAAACAGTTGTTTTTTAATATGGTCATATTGAAATCATATAGACTTATAATAATGAAAACTCCTTTTTAAAATTACTGCATGATTAATTTGTGCTCATGTTTCCCAGTTTTCCTGTCAGTAATGAATTATAATCAGAATCCACGTATGTGAATTCTGAAGAAGACACGAAGTACCAGAACATCTAATCAATGATCAAATCAGTAGATACTTACTGAATACTTATGTACCTAGAACTTTTATAGGCATGCCTTATTCTAGCTCATAAACTTCCTGTTAGATCTTTTTGGAGACTCTCTACTTGCTGACATAGGTAGTATCCACAATGCCTTCTTGAAAATCAATTTATAAAGCAGATCATTTAAACATAGTTCAAATTTCCCTGATGCTTTAATTTAGCATTATGTACTCAATGAAACATTTAGCATCAAATAAATCAGAGCTTCATAGCAAGGCCATGAGAGCTTATTCTCTACAATC